CACACAAAGATGACTTGCAATTATCTGATTGACTATCCCATCAATAATAAAGTGTTCACCCACACAAAGACATCTATGAAAAAGACTTAGCAATCTAACATTTTTTTTTGTTTGGTGATATTCACATAAGCTACAGTTTAGCATCTCAAAATGTTATGACAATTTGTTTTGGCACAAGTATTTGTAACCAATTTCAATTCAATTAAGTAATGTCTATTTGTTTGACAAAAACATGCTTCAGGGAAACTAAATTTCTTGTTTAGGTTGTAGTGAGTTTAGCATAACTCAAGATATTTTCATATCGTAATAACAAAATCATAATTGCATATCCTAATTAATCAAGCTGAATTAATATCCCATCTAGTAAGTTAGAGATGAGTTTATAAAATTATTTAATGTATGAATAAAAAGAATAACTTAATCATCTTAAAATTCAATTAGCCGAATTAGTTGTATTAATCTATTATTTAATAACTCTAAGGCAAATTAAAATCAATTTTTATCCCACATAGTAATTAAAGAATAACTAGCCTAATTAATCAAATTGATTTAACATCGTACACGTTAATTGAAAATACTTAATCAGACTAGTTGATGTTTCATTGATATATAAGTAATTAGCATATTTCAATATCCTAAAATAATAATTAATAATCATGCTATTAACAATTGATTATCCAGATTGATCTATTAATTTAAATATGATTAAATATGAAAATACATAATCCTAATTTTAAACTGTCTTATTAATCTGAAGTAACTTTAACTCATTAGACTATTTATAGTCAATTGATTATTTAGCGTAAATAATCGACGGTCAATTGACTTGTATCCTAATTAATTTTACTAAGATCAACCTATGGCATTAGAATGATATATTGCCAAATTTACCTTATTAGGTAAATCCATAATTTAACCTAGTTATTATAATTTGTCTTAATATTTCCTAACAACTGTAACTCATTATATTTAATACTCATTTGATTATTTAGCATAAATAACTGATCGTTAAATGACTTATTAGTCTAACATATTTTACTAAACCAACCTATGGCATTAGAATGATGTGGTGTCATAATCATTCTACCAAGCTCTAATTAGCGAAAACAATCTCGTCTTGGTTATTGCTAAAAAAACTTTATACCATCGCAATAATATTACCGTGTCCAAAGGAAAAAAAATAAAGGTAACTTCCAAGCCAACACAATAAGAATTCTCCTCATTTCACAACTTAGAGATCCTGAGTTCCAAACCAGAACCAACTTCCAACCATCACATGTCAAACAAACACTTTACTAAAAATAGAAATCTACTTCCGAATATTTACAACAAATTGGCCTTCATAGTGGTTGCATCTCTTGTACTTTTGTCTGTTTATTAGAAGAAGGCTCGCATTACGTTTCATGATAAAAGAGTTAGTATAACATGTCTATTAGAATTTAGAACTTTTTTACAGAATATCACCAAGCAATATTTACTGCAGAATAAGAATTTTATCATCAAAATTAATTGAAATTTTTTCGAATTTTAGGAATATTTATTACTATCTTCTACTTTAATATTTTATGTATTTAGAATATAAAATTAGTTTTATGTTATAATTCTTGTTTTCTTCTTTTATCATGGGGAGGCGTTTACGTCTTTCCTCATGTGATTGTCATCCCCCTCTATTTATCTTTTAATCGTTTTGTAAGAAATTCAAGAGGAATAATAATTTTTCCTTCTCTAAAAATCACATGCTCTCAAAGCCACCGAAAGTGCCCTAACCTGTGTCAAGGTTGAAGCCGCTTACCCCGTTCGTTATGCTTCGTCTTAGAGTATGAGAGCTTGCGTTCGGAGCATGTCGATCCTGCATCATCTGTGTGTTCCATTGTTGCGAGTGGTTTGCCTTGCTCCAATTCTACCGTTATCAGTAAAAATGCGAGGATCCGCATGTGTGAAGCTTCTTCGGCTGCTCTAGAACTGTGTTGTAGCTTCTTTCGACGCTTTATTGTATCTCCTTTGAAGACACGGCCTAGATTTGGGTTTTTCCATCACGACAATAGAGTTGAACTTGTGCAAGGAAGTAAACAAATAGCAACATCTAGGAGCTTCATGCCATTCTTCATTGAAAATAGGGATCGAGATTGCATCATAAGGAGTTATGTGCCACTTACGCAGGAAAGTGAACAAATTGTAGCATACAGGCGTTCCACACCCTTCTTGCTCAGAAACAGAGATTGGGATCGTAGCGTAAAGAAGTTTCGCAAGCTTGTGCGATCGGGATGGTAGTGTCTTTCAGATTCCAAGGATGTCTTCCAAATCAGCAATGATAACTGGAGTTCCAAAAAACTCTGTCACATCAACAGGTTCAGTTATTCTAAAACTACATCTCCTTGTCCCACGTCCGTATCAACTTAGTTTTATCCCCATAACTTACCATCGTATCTCACAGTGATAAAACTTAACAAGCACAACTACCTTGAGCGGGCTCAATCCATAAAATTGGATATTGACAAGAGAGAAAAAATTAAGTATTTAACTGATAAATTTCAAAACTACTACTGGTGATCTGAATTAGAAAAAATGACAATCCAAAAATTCTTTGAGTATGATATAGCTCATCAAATCCATGGAACCTACCAAAGGAAAGCCACATCTACTCCTTCCCAAAACCATATGGCCACTTCTTTTTTAAGTTATTTCTAATTTTTCTAATTCTTGGATAAGAGAATCTGGTGTAATTGATTATAGAACGAGATTTTCTAAAATATTTTCTTATTAAAGATCTTGTGCAAATAATAAAAAGGACAAAATTATTGATGATTCCCTCTTGGTAATTACCATGATAAAAGCTGTCAAACTCTCATCATTCTTAACCATTCGTGATGTTCAAGTTTCTAATATATCGTGTAACTTTTTATACATTAGTAAAATTACTGTTGATCATCAATAACAAACTAACTTCTATCATTTTTGCTAAGAATTTATGGAATTAATCACAGGGAGGATGATGGAAAGTGCTAAGGAAAAAGATGAACTCTATTAATTTGAAGATGAACTTGTCTTGAATAGACAATATCAAAGTACGGGCTTTAATTCTATTTTTATTTCCAAAGATAATGAAATTATGTTATGGAACTACAGGTTGGGTCATCTCAGTTTTCATTATCTAAAATATTTGTTTCCCAAAATATTACAGAATAAAGATATGTCATTGTTTTAATGTGAAGTGTGTCAGTTTACTAAGCACAACCGTGGATCATTTTCTCCACAAATATCCTGTACAACTTTGATTCACATTGATATATGGGTCTTTATAAAACTCTTACACACAGGGAAAAAGTGATTTGTGACTTTCACTGATGATCATAATATATTATGTTGGATTTATTTAATGAAAGAATAATTTAAAGTAGATAAAATTTTAAAAAAAATTTATAGTATAGTACATACCTAATTTCAAATAAATATTAAAATATTACAGAGTGATAATAGCCGAGGATATTTCAAAAACACTTTAGGCCAATTCTTATTTGAAAAAGAAACGATTCATTAATGCTCTTTTGTTGACATTTCTCAACAAAATGTGTTGGCAGAAAGAAAAACAAGCATTATTGGAGGTAGCTGAGATTTTGCAATTTATCAATTCAGTATCTACATATTTTTGGGGAAAAACTGTTAATCTGCAACGTTTCTCATAAACAGAACACCAAATAAAATTTTAAACTTTGAAACAATTTTTGATGTTTTCAAAAAAAAAAAAAAATCAGCTTTTTGCTACTATACCGCAAAAAATATTTGGGTGTATTGCCTTTGTTCACACTCATAATCAAGAAAAGCTTAAATCCCGAGCCAAAAAAGTTTTGGTTATGATCTTACCACAAAAGGGTATAAATATTTTGATCCCAAATTGGAAAAAAAATTTTTTACTATGGGTTTTTTTTCCATCTCAACTTAAAGGGGAAGAACAAAATAAAAATGTGTCTGCTAAGTTTCAAGATTTTCTTCAAACTAAAGACTCCCAAAATATTGTCCCCTATCTTGATTGTTCAACTTGAAAATTCAAATGATTTTATATCAGGGGAGAGTTCGTCGCATCTTTTAAATATTGAAATTTCTACAGTGCTATCTCACGATGTTCACAACAATACAGAAACATGAAAAAAATAACAATAGTGGTACTATTTG